CCATCTTGGCCCATGAACTCCCAACCACACTGACTAGCTACATAATTCACAGGGCCCAGTGCAAAATGAAAATGCCGGGCTCCCTTCTTAAAAAGTTATGAGTAACTTCAGGACAGTGACAGCCGGGCATTGAAGAGGCGCTGAGCCCTTCTGAGTGTGGGATGGTGCAGGTCACACGCCCATGAAGCTGGCCCTACAACCAACCACCCATTACCCACACTGGAAACCAGGCTGCCATCTTTTGCCTCTCCCTCCCCCCACCCCGTCCATCGAGTCCTGTGGATTCAAGCTCATTACACAGCTGCCCTTTCTGCACCCCAAATGCCGTGCCTCCCATCTAGGCAGCGTTTCTCACCCCTGGACGATCGCAGCCATTCCAACAGCCTCCAGCCTTGCCTGCTCTGGCCCATGCTCCCTGCGCAGCCAGAGAGCTCCCTCCCTACAGGCCAACCCGACCCTGGCACGTCCCAGTGGCACCTGTGGTGGCTTGAACTGTGTTCCCCCCACATTCACGAGGTAAAGCCCTAAGCCCTGATGGGGACTGTATTTGGAAATAGGGCCTCGAAGAGGTAATTGGGATTAAATGAGGTCATAGGGTGGGGCCCTGGTCTGATTGGACTAGTGTCCTTATAGGAAGAGACAACAGCGAGCAGGCCCCCACCAGCATGGTCATAGAGGAAACAATGCTAGGCAAGGACCCAGCAAGAAGGTGGCCATCTACAAGCCAGGAAGAGACCATCACCAGAAACCGAATCTGTTGCCACCTTGGTCTTGGACTTCTGGCCTCCAGAACGCTAAGAAAATTAATTTCTGTTCTTTAAGATATGGAGCCTGTGGTCTTTTGTTATAGCAGCCTGAGCTGATGAATACGGTCTCCACTGCCTAAGCTCTGTTCCTGGTCCTTGTGGCCCTGCGTGGCTGGGACCTACCTCTCCGGCTCTTGCCAGAACATCTTCTTTCCTGTCTCTGGGGGCTCCACAGGCTCTCTGCCCCCTGGCTCTTCCACATGCTCTTCTTCTACCTGGGGACTGTCCTCTCTACCTCCTCAGCTGGCCAACGCCTATTCCCTTTTCAACCCCAGCTTGGAAATGAAACATCCCTGACACGCCCCACCCCTGCACAATCAAGGTGGGGCCTCTCTTCCCTGCCCCCACAGCCCCTCCAGGCTCCCCCTCTTGTCGGTTGCACTTGTGACTCGTGTCACTGCATATTTTGGGCTTCTCTTGCCTGTTGTTCAGGAGCTCCTGGGGACGGGGACTGTATTCCCCAGCATCTGCTGCTCCCACGGCTTCTTGTCCCTGGCAGCCTCTCAGAAAGCTTGAGGCCGAAGAACAGGGCCAAAGGAGCAGGGCCAAGGGTGCAAGAGTTCAGTTAACTTTGCACTCACCCTCCTCCAAGGGAGAATTTTTCAACTGTGTCTTTTTGGAATGGGTCATTCATTCACTGGGTCAACAAACATCCATTGCTTTCCCAGGTAGGGCGGGGCCCCGGGCCAGGTGCTGGATGCTGCTGAGAAGGTGCCTGAGTCCCCACCAGGAGACACACAGACACCAGACATCACACTGTATTGAAAGAGGGTCTCCCTGGCAAGTCGTGGGAAAGAGAGGATTCAGATCAGACAAGCCTGGATTTGCATGCAGGCTTCGCTCTTCATCAGTTGGTGACCCTGGGCAATCTGCATGCCCCACTTGTTTTACCTTGAAAATGACCCTGACATCCACCTGTTGGGATTAGCAGTTCTCAAACTTTTTTGAGAACCCTGTACACTCTTAAGCATTATTGAAGCCCCTACAGATCTTTTGTTTATGTGGGTTATTTCTTTCAGTATTTACCATATTGGAAATTGAAACTAAGACGTGCTAAAAACCTGAGAACACACATACATTCCATTTTCCATCAGAGTAATGACATAATCTTGCCCCAGGACCTGTGCTCAACCAGAAGAGTGAGAAACAAAACCCCAGCTCCCAGCTCCAACTTTATGAGGAAGCAGAGACAACCTTTAAAAAAATTTTTAGGGGGGCGCCTGTCGTGTGAGCGTCCAACTCTTTTTTTTTCTTTAAAGATTTTTTTTATTTGACAGAGAGAGACACAGCGAGAGAGGGAACACAAGCAGGGGGAGTGGGAGGGGGGAGAAGCAGGCTTCCCGCCAAGGAGGGAGCCCGATGCGGGGCTCGATCCCGGGACCCTGGGACCATGACCTGAGCTGAAGACAGATGCTTAATGACTGAACCACACAGGCACCCCTATGACTGCTTTTTTTTTTTTTAAGATTTTATTTATTTATTTGACAGGGAGAGACACTGCGAGAGAGGGAACACAAGCAGGGGGAGTGGGAGAGGGAGAAGCAGGCTTCCTGCTGAGCAGGGAGCCCAATGTGGGGCTCGATCCCAGGACCCTGGGATCATGACCTGAGCCCAAGGCAGACGCTCAACGACTGAGCCACCCAGGCGTCCCAAGCACCCAACTCTTGATTTCGGCTCAGGTCATGGTCTCAGGGTCCTAAAATGGAGCCCTGAGTCGGGCTCTGAGCTCAGCACCGAGTCTGCTTGTCCCTCTCACTCTGCTCCTCCTCTCACTTGTCCTCTCTCTTTCTCAAATAAATAAATAAAATCTTTAAAAAATTGTTTTAGGGGCACCTGGCTGGCTCAGTCAGTAGAGCCTGTGTCTCTCTTTTTTTAAATTCTATTTTGCTTAAATTTATTTTATTTAAACGTAAAATTTACTTTACTTAAACTGATTAACGTATAGTATTAGTTTCAGAGGTAGAGTTCAGCGGTTCATCAGTTGCATATAACACCCAGTGCTCAGTACCTCACGTGACCTCCTTTTTTTTTTTTTTTAAGATTTTATCTATTTATTTGACAGAGAGAGACATAGCAAGAGAGGGAACACAAGCAGGGGGAGAAGGAGGGAAGAAGCAGGCTTCCCCGCGGAGCAGGGAGCCTGATGTGGGACTCGATCCCGGGACTCCAGGATCATGACCTGAGCCGAAGGCAGTTGCTTAACCAACTGAGCCACCCAGGTGCCCAAATTTACAGTTTTTAAACTGAGGCAAGGAGATAAGAGATTGATAGTTAACTGAGTATTAAAAATGAGCTGTTTTCTAGTAATTTCTTCAAGACCCGGAAGGTATCACATCCTCTTAAAATGTTTTCTGATACTAACCAAAACCTGTATTCAGTTAAACTTAAGTTTTTTGTGAATCTAAGGCCCATGTTACATATTGGGCCCGCGGAGGTCAGCGGGCTTAAATCAAACATCTGTAAAATTCTTAAAAGCCCAACGAGACCAAATCTTGACATTTTCTGTAATTTCAAGATTGGTTTTCCTTTATTCAGATACTTTTCCTGCTTAGAAAAGCATTTGGTCTATTAAAACATTTCTAGTTATTTATTTATTTTTTAAGATTTTATTTATTTATTTGACACGGAGAGAGTGAGAGAGAGAGAGAGAGCATAAGCAGGGGGAGTGGCAGGCAGGCAGAGGGAGAGGCAGACTCTGTGCTGAGCAAGGAGCCCGATGTGGGACTCGATCCCAGGACCCTGGGATCATGACCTGAGCCGAAGGCAGACGCTTAACGACTGAGCCGCCCAGGCGCCCGCATTTCTAGTTATTTTTAAGATGGTTACACTAATAAAATGTTTTGATTCAAGAGCTGTCACATTTGGAAAACTTTGAAGTACAATTTATTGTGCCTTTCTGGGAGTAGTATTTATAGGCATTTTTGGGAGTAAAAGTCAGATTGTCCTTTTATTTCTAGATACATTTTAGATGCACTTCTTTAGCGTTTTTAGGGTCTTTTTGAGAGGATAAGGAACACAGTGAGAAGCACTTCAGTCTATAAGGGTTAAGGAGGGATTACTATTTTGTTAACTTATGTCCCATGAATAGTTCCATGTATCCTCCTATATTAAAGGACTTCATTCTAGGCTTTTATGATAATGCCTTATTCATTGTTCTCTTTCAAAACTATTAGTGTCCCCCACCAGAATGTAAGTGATATGAGGGCGGGACTTTCACCTGGCATGGTCACTCCTGTATCCCTAGCACCTAGAATAGTGCCAGATATATAGTAGGTCTCAAGAAATGTTTGTCAAATGAATGAATTTAATGATGTCTGAGGGTTAACGTTTTCTCTTTCTGCATATTCCATAGGCTTGTTTACTGTGTTTCCTGAGACTTGTGCTTGGTCAGTCACATCTGTATTCAGTCTCATTGAAGTGATGATTACTAATCTACTCTTGCTTGATCTTATCCATCTGTTTAGTCCAGTGTCTTCCATAGCTGTACTGTCTGGACTGTTCACTATCGCTTAGAAAGTTTTTTCTGATGACCAGTTCTTATTTAGACTTTAATGTTTGCTTCTTTCCTCTCTTTCTTTTGTTTGCTATAGCAGCTTATTTTTGCCACTTTTTCCACTTTGCTCAACAGTATCAAATTCCTGGTCATGTTATGCTTTGTCCCTTACCAGTTTCTACTTTTAGTTACTCATCCTTTCAGTCCAAAATATTTTTGTTAAAGCAGTTTTCATTACTTATTATTTCAGTTATGTCTGCTACTGCTTCTGTTATAATTCTTGGATGTTAAAACTCTTCTTCCCTAGTTGCCCCTGGGACATTGGTCTCAGAATGCTTATTGCATGAAGTTAAACCAGGTGTTTGTTGTTGTTGTTGTTGTTTTTAATTTTTTTAGGATTTTATTTTTAAGTAATCTCTACACCCAGTGTGGAGCTCGAACTTAAAACCCCAAGATCAAGAGTTGCACGCTCTACTGATTGAGCCAGCCAGGCACCCCATGAAACCAGGTGTTTTCCTCCTTTAAAAAAATATTGTAGGGGCGCCTGGGTGGCTCATTCGGTTAAGCGTCTGATTCTTGATTTTGGCTCAGATCATGATCTCAGGGTGGTGAGATTGAGCCACATGTGGGGCTCCGCGGTCGGTGCTCAGTCTGCTTCAGATTCTCTCTCCCTCTCTCATGCATGCACGCTCTCTCTCTCAGATAAATAAAATAAAACATTACAAAAAATACTGTAGAGAAATATTTATCACATATTTAGCTATTATTAGCTGAAGTCCAAAATAGTTTCTAATATAGGAAAAAACTGTATATTGTTAAGTCCTGGGATTCACCAATAATTGGCCATCGGTCACCTCTGTTGCTCACTCAGCTCTTTAACTCGTGCATCATTTTCTCCAAAAGTAAGTCATTCTGATTTGCCATTTTATTTTATTTATTTATTTTTAAAGATTATTTATTTATTTATTTGACAGCGAAAGACACAGCGAGAGAGGGAATACAGGCAGGGGGAGTGGGAGAGGGAGAAGCAGGCTTCCTGCCGAGCAGGGAGCCTGATGCGGGGCTCGCTCCCAGGACCCTGGGATCATGACCTGAGCCGAAGGCAGACGCTTAACGACTGAGCCACCCAGGCGCCCCGTGATTTGCCATTTTAATTCTGCTGTCTTGGGAGCTGTACTACTAGTATCATAATTAAAGGTGTAGACTCTGGAACCAGACTGCCTGGGTTCAAATCCTGCATTTACTATCTATGTGCAGTCTAAGTAATGTCTTTGTGACTCAGGTTTACCTTCTGTAAAACAGGGCCTGCAATAGTCCCTACCTCACAGTGTTGTTATGAGAATCAAATCAGTTAATCTATGTGAAGTATTGAAGACAATTCACTGGCACATACTAAGTGCTCCATAGATGTGTGTTCTTGTTATTATTACAACCTCTCTCAGGCCCTCATGTTTGAGAAGCTGGGTTTCCCCCCCAAATCAAAATTAAAACAAATTTTTTTTCAAGTCAAAATTTTAATAACCACCCCTCCCCCAGATTAATCTCATGAAACCATAAAAATTATTAAATGAAGTGGAGATTGTTACCTGCTTTAAGTTTTTGTTACTATCTTAATGAGTGTTACATAAACGAGGGTGTAAAGTCAAATACAGTGTGTGGACTCTGGACCGGCAGCGTAAGATCACCTTGGAGTTCCATCCCAGTCCCACTGAATCAGAATCTGCATTTTAACAAGACACCCACATGATTTTTATGCACATTAAAGTTTGAAGCATCCTCTTTAGACTGCTAGAGTGATGTCTTAAGGAATTTCAGAAACAGCAGTTGGGTGCTTTATTTTTATTTTTCCTCCTACTTAAGTATGAACTGGTTTCTTTTAGGCACTGTAGCAGTATGTATTGCAAGGATCCTAATCTGAAAGTGGGTGAAACCGGTTTGGCTTTCAAAGAAGTGAGTTATAGTGTCTTGCGTATTGTGTAGAATCGCCTCATGTCTGCTCACTATCAGGAATGCAAAGTTGTTAAAGTACTGTTTACCGCTTAGTACTAACTAATCTTAAGTTCTAGTTTAGAATATCAGTTACACTTTTGAACTCAAATGACGTTTTATTGAAAACATTGTTATGAAGGATAATTCCTGTAATTGTTGGTTATGAAAACAGGTGAACTACAAAGCTGGCATTTAGCTGGTGAAATATAACAAATCTTTTCTGTTTTCTTTCCTGAAATAAACCATATTTCTAATCTCAAGGGAAAATATTGATAACTAAAATCTAGTCTTACTTAGCTACCATCCTTTTTTTAAAGGACTAGATTGAATTTTTTTCTAATAACTTTTCCTTGAACTGTTTGGTGTAGGAGAAATCCACCGGTACTATCCTTGTGCAGTATATGCTTTAGAGTAGTGTTTCCTAATCCTTTTCAAATCAAGGCAGATGTAGAAAAGTATTCATATGCCACACTGAAGTGAATGGATGAGACTCCTCTTGGCTGGCTAGACATGTTGCAGACCCCAGGAGAGCTGGGGGAGCAGTGTCTCAGGCACTCTTGTGTCTGTCCATTCTGTTTCAGGTGGCAGTATGAAGCCATCTAGTGTTGGATATTAAGGCACAGCCATCCTTTTCAGCTAAAAAGATTATGACTGCTGCTCCTTGTGGGAACAGAAGAGATTGAGAACAGAACAATGAAGAGAAAATGAAACCGGGGGGGGGGG